GAAATCTTCCAGTCCAACCTACTACTCATTTCTATCCATTTCAATAATTCACAAGAAAAAATTATCTAATCATGAACTAAGTAGCCCACATGCACAAAAAAATCTTTAAAGCAACAAATGTCCCCCTGGCAAAACGCTTAATGCCTGGCTGTTGAATAATGTGTGATATAAAAAGTAAACACCTGTACGTCAACAATATCAAATGCCCTTATAAATCATATTATTTTTAACCTTGCCTACTTAAACACAGAAATTACACAATATTCAAAAGTGTGTGAATTTGACATAGTACACAGTCTTTAGACAAGTTAACATTTCTTTAATATTAAAAATCCAGGTCAGTGTCTTTCATTTGAAAAACAACTTTAAGCCAGGAACCAAAGTTCTGTATTCTGTTTCCATTCTTACGTATTTCAAAGCAAATCTTATTTTTGGAAAGAGAAGGAAGCAGATTTTTTGAGTTCTCTATGCTTAAAATAACAACAGCAACATTCATTAATGATTTGTGGTGAGATATAAACTTAACTTCCATGTTATCAGTTGTGATATGTTTGCATAACACTAAAAAGCTTGGTTAATGAATGGGTGCTATTATTTTGCTCTTAAGTACCCCATCTTAATTAAGCAATGTAACTTTTTATGTTGACTGAACCCAAAATAATTGTGATTTGTGGAACTATGAAAACAAGAGCATATAGCTCATGAGAAATCTTGGGATAAAAGTCTGATATATTCAAAATGTTGAGCTCAGGCTTGATAAACTCAGGCTTAATAAACCAACTAAAGTTGGTTAAGCTGTGACAGGAATGTAAAATGGTACCATATGGTCATTCACCAAACTTTTTACTTCAAGTCATCATGCAAAGAGCTCCTGATATCTAAACTCCTACCAAAGGGTGTGGAAGTTTTTGACATTGAAAAGTATAGTGGTTCAGACATTTTAAGAAAAGTCATAAAACATTGATCACAAACAGGAGTGCCTGAGTTTGCATACCAAGATAAGCCAAACTGAAACCTTTTACCATTTAGCCCAGTCTGAACCAAGCCAGCAATGTCCATAACAACCACATTAATGTCAAAATGATGAAACATACATAACATCATTATATAAAGGACCCAATCAAGCACTTGCATCCTGGCACCAGACCCATGTCTCATTTCCCCCCACTTTTCTACCCTGCAGATGCCTCTGCACCCAGCCAAAGTCAGAGCCATAAAGCTCTACTTCCACAAATAGGCTCCCACTGGATCTTACAGTGTCTGGTAAATAAATATCATCTGACAATTCAGCCTAACATGTTGCATAAGGGGAAAGCTTCTTGTTTAAAATATTCTGGAAAGAAAGCCCACATAGGCTGTTTTACATAAATATTACATACAATTCATGAACAACATTTGTTCCCAGCACTGAAGGCTGTCTCCCCATATTGTTATATTGATAACAGACCTTCAGTCAGCTCTGGGACTTTGATAACATGGAATTCAAGAAGCAGTGAACTTCTAATCTGATATTCAACCAAGAGAGTTTCTCTTTTTTGAATATTGTATAACCATGCTCTGGTATAACGATAATCCAAAACTCATTCATCCAAGTTGCCCATTATCTAGAGCAGTGGTTCTTAACCTGTGGGTTGGGACCCCATTTGGGGTCGAACGACCATTTCATGGGGGTCACCAAACAACGCAGTCCGCCATTTTTTCCCCTTTTCCTTAGCTGTGCTACTCCCTTTTATTCTATTGGCTTTCGAAAGCCAATGGAATAGACTCTCTTGAATAGAGTCTAATTCTATTGGCTTTCAAAAGCCAATAGGAATTGTCCAGGCTGTCTCTGCCCTGCTGAGCCCGCCAAAAGTCCCCATTCTGCAAACGGTGCTGCACCAGTTGAGTAGTCCTCGACTTACGACCGTTTGAGTAGTCCTTGACTTACGATCGGTTGGGGGTCGCGGCATTAAAAAGGTTGAGAACCACTGATCTAGAGACTTTCTATAGTAGAAATAGGTAGCAAAGTCATGCAGTGAAAATATCAAATACAGCAAGTTTATTTTGCAGTTCAGAGCTCTTGAGCCATTGGGTCATCATTTCAGAGATATTTCCTTACCAGATTCCTTAAAGCAGGGGTTCTCAACCTTGGCAACTTTAAGACTTGTGGACTTCAACTCCCAGAATTCCTCCTCCCATTCTAGGAGTTGAAGTCCACAAGTCTTAAAGTTGCCAAGGTTGAGAACCCCTGCCTTAAAGCCTTCAGCAATGGCAGAGCTTTTAATATAATAGAAAAGTTCTTAAAAATTCAGGGAGATCTTCAGAGGTATATCTGCCTTGAAAGTAGCACAGTCAGGAGTTGACCATAGGAAATGTTTTATGACATTTTGTATTATGTCATAACATTTTAATAGTATTTGTTTTTGTCATAAAATGTTTTATAAAATTTGCCAAATTTTAATTTCATAGGAGTCATGGGTTCTGAATTTGGGATACATTCTGTAAGTTAGTCCATTTGAAGTACTTTGGTTCAAAAATGGTGGCCGTATTATTTTCCCCAATTAAAGGTTACAAACATAAGAGTTTTAGTAATGCATAGACTATAATGCCATTCCTACATCTGAACAAAGTCTGAAAGATTAGAACATAAATATTAAAATAGTTTGATTATACATTGTGAGAATATGCAACACTAGGCAAAATTTTATTCAGTTCAGACACTCCTCTAAAATATAATATGATGTACACAATCTTGGGTTGTCATACTAACTTAACTACTATCTGTAAATCTTGTTACTTTGTGAACCCAGACAATAATGGCTTTTTCAACAAACTATGATTAAAAGGTTAGCATGATGTGCAACAGGGAGAGGGGAAACAGTGGCAATATATGTGTGTGTGTGTGTGTGTGTGTGTGTGTGTGTGTGTGTGTGTGTGTTCCCTTGCCCTCTCCCCCGCCTCCCGCCATATCCATAGCTAAACACACTAGGCACTAGACCATCTGCAACTAATATGTTCCTTAAACACTGAAAACTTCATCTGAGAATAGGCTGGACAACACAGAATATACCAAGCAGAAGAACTGAAAATATACTTCTGCAGACTATAGTTTTTAAACTATATATTAAGAACATATAAAGCGGTTTGGCATCTACAAAAGCATGTAGTGTTATCTCTGTGCTTTTGTGATAAAAAGTATCTTTCAAGTGAGCTAGAGGCCAGTTTATGCTAATTTTTAAATCTTATTACTGCCCATGACATTCATCTAGAGCTATTTATAAAATGGATTCATTGATACAGTGTTATAGAACTGAAGTAAAGAAACAAACACAACAATAGGTTTTTTTAAAACAAAAAAAAACATCAGCTGTGAGGTAGGTCAGTAATATTTATGGTCCAAAAAATGAGAGGCAACTCATTCATGTAGTAAGCTGAATTACACAGAGCATCCCGGGGAACCCTACTGTTGTTTAATCAGACCTTCAAAGATGATCACATGCATAGCTACATAATTTATTAGAACACTGAAAGAAACCTCTGGAATGTGCCAACATAAACAGAAATGCTCAGCAATCTGACATCCACATTTCTCAGGAGAGCAACAAGATCCACAATCCTTCCACTAATACCATATAGAGGTCTCTGACCCAGTGTGCTGTCACAAATTCAATAGTGAAATTGTTCAAGAGCCTCCTACCCCAAAACCCAGAAAGTGCGACATACAAGCAAACCAAAGAGCCAATCCTGAACGGTGTAGTCTTCACCCATCTACTTAGAAATAAACCCACCGTGTTTAATGGGATTTATTCACAGGAATGTCCCAGGTTATAGAACATCGGCTACCTCCACCGAGTAGTTTCTTGGCTTTGATCTCCAAGCATTTGAAATGCAAATAAGACGACGGGGAAAGCGCTTACCACTAAGGCTCTTTCGGATCCATCTGTGCAATTATGCCCTTCCGAAAGAACGATTTTCTTCCTCTCGGGCTGTCTCCCCCCCCCCCGTTCCCCACCCCCGCCACTATTATGCGAATGTTTTTCTCGCAGTTGTGCTGAGCGGCCACATCGCGCTTCAGCACGGCAGCAGAGGTTTTCCCGAGGCTTTATCCCGCTTCTTAACCCCCCTCCTGGCCGACAAGGATGTCGGCTCAAATCTGAGAGCACGGAAGGCTTAAACTGAAGCACAGAGGACATCGCTCCCGCAAAACTGGTATTAACCACAGAGGCTCCTATTGCACAGATAGGATAAAACGGGCTTCTGCTGTAGGCATACCTCCCGTTCTCACAAGATACTCTCTTTTCTCGATCATCCAGCACCTTTCCTAGCCACACACTCAAGAGCGTTCCCTTTCCGACGAACATCCATTCAGCGCGCTCGGTTGAGAAATGCGTACAATACACAGCGCAGGCCAGCCTCACTCGTATCTGCGCTAGGGAACTGGGGAAAAGAGAGACGGGGAATCTGGTGTAGAAGGACGGATGGGGGGGGGGGAGTGCTCTCTCTCTCTCTCTCTCTCTCTCTCTCTCTCTCTCTCTCTCTCTCTCTCTCTCTCTCTCTCTCTCTTTCCGGAGCTTCCATTCATTCATTCATTCATTCGGCCAGTTAAGTCAGTCAACCCACAGCGATGTACCTACCAAGCATTGCTTTCTTCCCGGCCAAGGCACCGATCGGACGCTGCAGCCTACCGGAGTGCCGCAGCAACCACAGATCTTCGAGAAGGGCAGGCACACGATGGCTTTTTTCCAACTGCAGAGGAGCCGCCGCCGCCGCCGCCGCCGCCGCCGCGGTTCTCACGATGCCATTCTGCCAATAGCAACTGCTGCCATATTGTTACAGCAAGCGCTGCGAAGGGCGGGGCGAGAGGACACCTTGGAAACCGATGGCTATTGGTCGCGCGACCGGCCAATCAAACTGACGCGGCCCAATGAGCCAAGCCGGCGATGAACAGCGGGGCCTTTGGAGTTAGAATGCGGCGTGACAATAGGGGCCGCACGCGGAAAGCCTGTCAGGGAGGGAAAAGGGTTTTGTTTGAGCCTTCCAGCCTTTTGCCGAGCCGAGGGAGGCGTTCAAGGAGAGGCGGTCCGAGAGCGGGGAATCAACCTACCTGTAACAAAGTAATGCTTTTCCCTCCCAAGCCGATCCAGTAGCGAATGGGCCTATCAGAAGACAGACCTAGGATTAAATTATGCGCGCCCCGAAGTGGATTTTTAGCGATTGGCTATTTATTAGGAAGGCAAGAAGGACGGGTCTTTATCCCTTGTTTTCGAGTAAAGGAAAACGTCGCTGAAGCGCAAACTCTCGTGGGTAGTGGTATTGTGGGTATCCATCCCCTCCTCTTTGAGAGGCTGCCACAAAGAGGAGGGGGGAACAACTTATTTCCCAAAGCACCAGAGGGCAGGACAAGAAACAGTGGATGGAAGCTAATTTAGGAGAGAAGCAACCTGGAATTAAGGAGAAACTTCCTGACAGTCTGAAAAATTAACCAGTGGAAGAAGCTTGCCTCCAGATGTTGTGGGTGCTTCATCATTGGAGGTTTTTAAGAAGAGACTGGACAGCCACTTGTCTGAAATGTATAGGGTCTCCTTCTTGAACAGGGATTGGAGTAGAAGAAGGTCCCTCCCAGCTCTATTCTGATTGATTGATGATTGATTGATTGCTGGAACTGTTGAATGGATGGATGCTATTAATTCAAGAGGTGGCATCTTGTAAAACAATAGACCCGGAATTGCAGCTAACCTTTTCTAAACTAAGAGATTCTGCAAACATCTCATAACTTTAATAAGCATCAAGATATCCTCTTTTTGTTTGATGAGATCAGAATGTGGCCATCCTAATAAAAGGCTAAGCTCCTCAACGTCTCACATTTATAAGCAGAAGACTGAAGTCTGAGTTGGTCCACAATTTGGAGGTTCTCCTGCTTCCTGTTTGGATTATTCTAATATGCTCTATATGGATCTGTCTTTAAAGAGCATTAGGAAGCTGCTGCAGGTGGTCCAAAATACAGCAATTCAGACAGTTTGGAGCTTTTAATAAATAATTATAATAATTTCCCATTACACCGATATCACAACCCTAGAAGGCAGTCCAGGCTAAGAAATAAACTTCTTGGAAGGTTAAAGATGCAGATAGAATTTGCCTACCTCAGTGATTGTCCAAGTTACATCACTGCTGAAAAAAAACCTTTGCAGTGTCTCTCTCTCTTACTGCCATTTGTTTGCCATTACAGTTAGTATACATAGACTTGTGCCTGATCTGTTTTTCTTTTCTTTCCCCTCACCCTTGCAGAGCCAAGAAATTGGAGAGGAAGGGATTATAAGAGAGTAAGCAGGCTTGCAATGGGGAATACACATTAAAAAAATGCACTAGCACCAGCTGTTTGCCTAATGTGCTCAGGGCTGGGAGCTGCTGGTTCCAATTGTGGTCACTAAATGAGGATTACCTGTATTTTATTGAGATAAGCTATAGAAACATAATAATTCAATCACTCCTGGTGGGCATTTGGGTACAACTATAAGTTCTCCTTATCACTCCATAAAGCCATGCATGGCTTAGGGCAGTGATGGTGAACCTTTTAGAGACCGAGTGCCCAAACTGCAACTCAAAACCCACTTATGCATCGTCAGGTGCCGGGTGGATGTGGCCTATTGGGTTGGCATGGCTGCGGTGGTAATGGCAGACTGGGTGGGACTAAAAAGTTCAATCAATTCCAACTTTGCAAGATCTTTTTTTTCCCTGCGAGAAGTTGAAATTGACTGATTGAACCTTTTTTTTTTTTTTTTTTTGCACACGACGGCGAAGGCCTAAAGCGAAAAGGTTTTATAAAACCCAGCTGAAGGCCTAGGACTGGGGCAAAGGCGCGCATGTCCACAGAGAGGGCTCTGAGTGCCGCCTCTGACACCCGTGCCATAGGTTCGCCACCACTGGCTTAGGGCCACCTCTCTGTCAATGTTTCTGATTGATGTACTGTATTAGATGTAGCAGGGAGGGGTTGTTCTAGTCTAGGTCATCTCCACCAGCCAATGTGATATTGTTGGAGTCAGGGATCATGTCTTTTCTGTGGCAGTGCTTGTCCTATGGAACACATTCTTCCAGAAATCAGATGGCCCCAATCTTGTTAGTCTTCAATAAGATCGGACTGTTCCTCCAAGCATTCAAGCCAAGGTAGGCAAGTTCTGGTTGATTATCTTTTTTCGTTGGGATCATAGATTTGATCTCAGACACTGTCAATTTAGATTGTTCATTTATTGTTTTAATCTGATACACACACCCCGAGTCACTACTGGAAAACTGTAGTCATATAACTCATTTAAATTACATAAATAATTCTTAGAGATGTATTTCATATTTTTGTTTCTTAATTTCTTTGTTCTTTTTCATTTGGACTTACATCTTGGCATGCTTGAAATTCATCCTCTCAGGAAAGGCCTCAAGAAATTTGATTGCTTAAGGCTACTATGCCTGAAAACTGCACTCATTTCTGTTGAACCAGGTTTAACAATGTGGTTTAATCCGCGCTTTTTTTTTACATGCACTGCATGGTTGTGGCTATTATCTTGACTTTTATGACCTCCCCCGTAATCACCCCCCTCTACAAATCTGGTAGGAAATTATGTAGGAGCCACTGACCACCGACCACTGACCACCAGAATAATAATAATTTAAAAAGTCACAATGGACTTTTGTGAGTGGGTGGATATGTTTTTTTAATATATGTCTCCCATTTTCTCTAAAATTCTTTTTTGTTTTGATAGCCATTCCTCTGAAAAATTGATTACTGTAATCAGATTCTGGGAAGATTCTTTAAACCAATTGTGCCTGTTTAAAGTCTATACATCCACACACAAACAAAGAAAATACAGATGGAGAAATGTAAAAGCATTTGAAAAAAGCTTTTTTGAACTGCAATAACATAGAGATATTCTTACCTCTGTTGCTATTAGAAGACAGCTGCACTAACAAGACTGCTTTTCATTTATACATGCAGAAAAAGGACTCAGATGGGAACACCAAATACTGTATCAGACCGGATGTAACTGTCACAGTCCATCTGAAAGCCACGGGCAGCTCTAGAGTTGATCACATTTTGAACTATTTGCAGAGAAAGACTTAGAGATCTGACTTGCTACTGGTTGCATCAATTCAGGAATCCTGACTGCATTAACTATGAATCATCAGCGCTGGTATATCATTTGTTCTTCTGGTGCATGGCAGCGAATCAAGTGAACTACCATATCAAGATTAAACATGCCCAAGACAGCCTTAACTCAGAGAGTAAATGATGGAAAAGTGGAAAAACAACCGTTCCATTCAGAGAAAAGTGTAGCATGAACAAGCACCAACATTTGCCTTGTTTAGGCTTGTTGCTGTAAGCTGTAGCACTTTTGGTATGTTGAAATGCTGAAGCCTAGAGATGGCAATCAGTGTTTGGGTGAAATTGTGTGTTACGGGGAGGATTTAATGAAAACAGCTAATTGTTTTTTTCAAAAGTTATGATCACTGTTGACAACAACTTGAAAAATCTGAAATTACGTAGCTCCAGAAACAAGCCAAAGTCATTGGAACTGGCAATATTCCAGAGACTGCATTCCAAACCCCTTTTATGTTTTTTTATTCCTGTTTACTATGAATATCATCTTTCACATTAACATTGCAAGCCACTGTTCCATTTGCAATGAAATAATTTTACTCTTTTTGATGAAAACCAAGAAAATGAATACATAAAATTGGCTGGAATTGCAGATGGCATACAGAGTGATATAAAACATGTTCAATTATAACAGCTCCCAGACACTATGGTTTTCTGAGGAGATTCTGCTTTTCAGGTCATGGCTTGCTATTTGTTGGTGACATTATTTCTTTAATAGGAAGAAAATTATACTGAATCCTTAGGATCCTCTTACAGTAGTAAACAAAAAATATACACAGAAAGATGGTAGGATTAGAATTCTACAGCAACTTCCATTCACAAAATGGAACCAGAATTTATCAATCTGGGAAACGCAAACCCTTCTGTGATGGATACATAGTTACTCAGGCATCATGATTAATTATTTTTCATTACACCCAGGACTTTAGAGGATGTTTTGTGGTTTGTTCTATTAGTAAAATTTAATAAACATGATATACCAGCAATAATTACACACATATGAGGAAATTAAACGTAAAAAGGAAAAAGATGATCATATAGTATTAATATATAACTAGCTTTATATATTATTATATCTAGACTATATGTAGACATTCTGCTCCATTTTCTATTTGTAAAAGACAGGCATTTCAAAAACAGACAAACAGCACATCTCTTGAATGTACTTTCAAGATCTAGAGGGCTGTTTTCTTTCTATTAACACAATATGATTCTCTTAATTAAGCCCTAAGCTCCGTAGGGCCAGAGCTCTTAATCAGATATCAAACTACACATTATATAATATTAGTATATAACTACTATGATTTTAATCAAAATTATCATATTAATGACTTGAAACCAAGAAGGAACATGATCAAATCATAGGAATTACAAAGCCCTCAAATTTATTACGTTAAATTTATTATCTGATATTTATCCTTTTAAAATATTTTGGGGAAAGCCTAATGAACACAAAGCAAGGTTTTAGAAGACTTCATACAAGCCATCAAGTATATTCAACACTTCTTAAAACCTGAATCCACTGATTTTTCCAAAATTGGATATTCAAGTTTATATTCCATAGATGATAGGTAGATAGATAGGTAGGTAGGTAGGTAGGTAGGTAGGTAGGTAGATAGATAGATGATAGATAGATAGATAGATAGATAGATAGATAGATAGATAGATAGATAGATAGATAGAGGCAGGTAGGCAGGTAGGCAGGCAGGCAGATATAGACAAACAGATATAGACAGATTCTCTCTCTCTCTCTCTCTCTCTCTCTCTCTCTCTCTCTCTCTCTCTCTCTCTCTCTCTCTGTGTGTGTGTGTGTGTGTGTGTGTGTAGAGAGAGAGCCAGTATTAGTATTAACCTGCAACACATTTTAGTTTCATATAAAATTGAATTGTTGATTATAATTCAAATATAGATCTAAACATTCAAGCATTACAGTTGTCTCTGAAACTACTAAAACATTCAGATGGTATTTTTTGTAACAACTATTGACTTTAATTGTATTAAGTGCCAATATCCAATGATTTAGATAAATAATATTCAAAATGTATTCTCTCAATGTCCTTAAAATAGCAATTGCTAATCAAGTAATTCAAAGTGTTAATTTTTTGCTCAGCTCACGATTTACAACAAAAAGTTTTTCCTCTTCTTCAGTTTAGAATTACTCCAGAATGTCTATTTGTCATGAGAATCTAGGTCCAAATTTAACTGCTTCTCAATTAATGACTAAATCTGAACAGCAGCTTTCAAGGCTGGGAAAGTCAATCTTTGCTTCTGCAAATTGACTGCAAAATTTACCAAGATTTCAAAGAAGCTGCATATTAGCTCTTTAAATGAACCCAGAGGGGATAATAATGAAATCAACATTCCAAATGAATATTAATATTAAAGTAAAAGCCCAATGATAAAGTGCAAAATCTGATAGATGAAAAACCACTCTCTTCAGAAGCAACTTTAGTTCAATCTGAGACAACTGATAAACCTTGTCCTGCCACAAAAAAAAAATCTCATTGGGTTATATATCTGTAAGATATCTAAAAGGAATTAATGTTAGAATCCCTTTTAAGATATATATCAGTCTACGGGTATGTCATGTTATTCACCAAAGCACCAGAGGGCAAGACAAGAAACAATGGTTGGAAACTGAACAAAGAGAGAAGCAACCAGGAATTAAGGAGAAACTTCCTGACAGTGAGGACAATTAACCAGTGGAACAGCTTGCCTCCAGAAATCATGGGCGTTCCATCACTGGAGATTTTTAAGAAGCTAGACAGTCACTTGTCTGAGGTGGTATAGGTTCTCCTGCTTGAATGGGGGGTTGGGCTAGAAGACCTCCAAGGTTCCTTCCAGCTTCTATTCTATTCTATTCTATTCTATTCTATTCTATTCTATTCTATTCTATTCTATTCTATTCTATTCTATGCATTTTAATTACATTACTTTTATTCCTAAGTCAGAAAGATAATTTTGGCCAATGATATACATCCAATGCAGTCTATCTATGCCTATAGACATATTTAATTAATATTTTGATACATTTAATAGAAATATAATTTCAAATATTTTATACAATATTATAAAATCCAACTTTTTAGAATAATGTATACATATTTTGATCCTGAATAGAATACATTATATTAATAGTATATCCTTAATATCAACTGTATTGTTACACAATTTTAACAAGTAAAAGTATTATATAATACGTCATCAGGCTATATTACTATTACTAATACTACTGTTACTACAGGGTATAAAAGAGCTTCTAGTCACTGTCCTCCACAACGTTTTTAAGAAGAGACTGGACAGCCATTTGTCCGAAATGGTATAGGGTTTCCTGCCTGAGCAGGGGTTTGAACTAGATGACCTCCAAGGTCCCTTCCAACTTTATTATTATTATTATTATTATTACTATTATTAATAATATTATTATTATTATCTTGTGCCTGTCCTAAAATGGTGATATGGCCCTGGACCCCAAGTGTCCCCAAGATCTTTGCAGAGGATCTGCAAAGTCAAATAAATAAATATTTTTAAATCTCTCAGTATTTACATTTCTAATACAGTGAATATTGATAGATATAACCCATATAAACCAAAGCCCTTTGGGATCCTCTATCATTTTTAAAAATGTAAAAACGTAAAATCAAAATATTTAAAAACTGCTGGTCTAATAAAAGTTAAAAGTCCAAGGATATACTGAAAATTAGGATACAGTCAACAACTCTGTAAAGTGATGCTATGTTATTTGATAGGTTCAGAGACATTTGTTGGATGAAGATACCAAATAATAATCCAATGTATAAAAAGTTGTGGGAAACAAAAGTCTTTTAAGAACACATTCCAGAAACTTAACCAGTGATATCCACAAATTGGTCAATAAATGCAAGATGGCTGACATTACTTTATGATGCAAACTTATCTTTTTTTGTATATCAATGCCATCTTGAAGCAAATTAAAAAAGGGGGCAGGTTTGGATAGCAATATCTCACTTTGCCAGTTCTATCTGACCTCCCATCATAGACACCACTGTTTGAATCATTTCAAAGACATTTCAGGATTTTGCAAGAATAAAAAGCTGAATCCAACTTATCTGCTACTATTTCTAAAATATCAATCACTATTGAGACTGTTTTCTTAACAGATCAGTAGATAATAACTACTGTAGAACAAATGATTTATAGCAAAGTTTATTGGTCCATTAGAGTTTTAAGTAACATGCAGTTCAATTCTGTTTATCTTTATTCAGAGGAAAATCCTCCATAGGAATGTAACCATAATAGTCAAGAGTGAATTTATTCATATGATGAATGCAATAAAAAAAGATCTCTGGGTATTAATATCTAATTACTGAAACATATAATTCATATAATCCAAAGGGCTTTTTCATTAACCTTAGACATGCAAATTTCTCACAACAGAACTGTATTCTTTAAAATATTTCGGTTGGAATATATGCCCTAAACTGTAGTCATCACAACAGATACAAAGCATTAAATCAGCAGCTAAATGAAAGTGCTGTGCTGCCCCAAAATTTGCCACCCTCTTTGCCAACCTTATTTGGCCTCTCTTGCATCTTTTCTGAATCACTGCTGTATCACCTTCTTTTGATTAGTCAGCATGTCAACAGTTAAAGGAAAGGTCTTCTGTTCTGACAGCTGTCAGGGTTGTCACCAGCCAGCAAGGAATACAAGTCCCAATGGAGCAGCTCAGCACAAATGGTGTCCACCTGACTAAGACGCTATCTGGACTTCTGCTGTGCGCCATG